CGCGTTCAGGCTGCGGGTGCCTCTCTCCAAGCAGGAGCCTGTGTGCGATGTTCATGCACTTGCAGAGCTCAGGGGCTGCCCTAAATATTTTGGTGAAAAATGGGAAGAAAAAAAAACCCAAAAAACAACAAAGAGCAGCCTGGGTTGAACTGCTCARCCTCAGAGCCCCCTCAGGCGCAGGAGGCACAGAGCCTCCTGTTGCTGGCTGCATTTATTGCAGGCAGCAGATTACGGCCCTGCTCCCTCATTAGGGGCACGGCAGGACGTTAAAAATGAGCGAATAATTCGGCTTATTGGCCTGGGCTTCTCCTGGCAAGCGGTGAGGTGGGATGCGCAGCGCCAAGGTGCTGGCGGCAGCCCGAGGGCTGAGCCCGGCCAGGCAGGGGTGCCCACGGTGGATGGCCAGTGCCATCTACGGGCCACCTCCTGCCCTGGCTGCTCCCATCCGGGGCTGGGACAAGGGACAGCAGCAGGGATGGCTCCGGATCGGGGCTCCCGAGCTCAGCGGCGGGCAGGGCGATGTGTGACTTCATCTTCATCTCTCGTATGAAGAGAGGCTGAGTGAGCTGGGCCTGTTTTCTCTGGAGAAGAGAAGGCTCAGAGGGGATATGATTAATATGTATAAGTTCAGGAAGGGAGAATGCAGGGAGGAAGGGGACAGGCTGTTCTCACTGGTGGCCAGCGACAGGACGAGGGGTAATGGCCACAAGCTGAAGCATAAGAAGTTCCGTCTCCAGGTGAGGAGGAACTTCTTTACTGTGAGGGTGACAGAGCAGTGGAACAGGCTGCCCAGGGAGGTTGTGGAGTCTCCTACTCTGGAGGTCTTCAAAACCCTCCTGGATGCCACCCTGTGCCACATGCTCTGGGTGTGCCTGCTTGAGCAGGAAGGTTGGACTAGATGATCTCTAGAGGTCCCTTCCAACGTTGAATATTCCATGATTCTGTGATTCTGTGACCCGCGGGGCCGGAGCGGGCAGAGGGGCTGGCGGCGCTGGCACAGACGGGAGCCTTGGTGAGGGCCCCGTGTGCCCAGCACGGCCTTGGGCTCCAGCCCCCCGTGGGCTCGAGGGAAAGGCGCCGTACCCCCCAAACGACCCACGCGGCATCGGGGCGAAGGGCAGGGACAGAGGCGACACCAAGAGCAAGGGGGGCAGGGGACGGGGYGGCTACGCGTCCTGCTCCAGCCGAGCCGGGCACGTGCCTGCGCCACCGTCCCCAAACCGGCTGCAGTGCAAACCTGCACCCGCCAGCACCGAGACGGGCCACYCAGCACCCCGCTCCGAGCACCAGCGGCCTGTCCTGCCCCCAAAACACGGACAGACACCCATAAAGGAGCACGGAAAGGGGAGGATGAGCTCTGGGTGCCCCTGCCGTGCGGAGGAAGGGGGCTCGGAATTGGCTCCATTTCCCAGGGATGTCCGGGGGGTTTTGTGGCTGCTTCCACTGGGTCCCATGCGGGGACCCCTCGGGCTCGCTCAGGGCTCAGCAACCTGCCRGCTTCTCAAACCCCTTCAAGCAGCTGCTTGTGGGACCAGGACATGAGACATCATCAGAGAGGGGCTTCTTCGATGCAAAACACTAGCAACATTAACACTCCAATAAATAATTCCTCATCTGGAGCGTGGAAAASAGATTTCAGGGTGTTCCAATCTGATCTGAAACCAGCCATCCAGGAAATGGATTTCCCATGGTCACACACTGCAAATTTATCTGCCTTTTGATGGAAAACCTCAGAAGACTTAAGTGTAATGAGGAGCTTACAAGTGAGCTTAAGTTGTAAAATTTTCACAACCCTCCTGCTTCTGGCTCTGCAGACTTCTTTGGAGTCTCAGATGTCACTGCCCGCAGAGCTTCACCTGCTGATTAGTCAAATTAACAAAAAACCAAAGAGAGGATAGAAATAAGTATTTAGGACTCGTGCTTAGTGCCTTCTCAGTATTAGATGAAGGCAGAACCTGACTAAAAGGGAAGGTTAACCAACATACCCAAGCCTCTTGTTTTCACTTATCCGCTCAAGAAACTGTCCTTGCAGCCACAGGCTGGGAAAAGATCCCACATTTTTCGGGATTTCGGGAAGATTCTACACATTTTCCTTCTGCCCTGTTTGTGTCACTAGCCGCTGCAGGTGCATGGCCAAACTGCGCCTGGGATTGCCTCCACTTCCATTCCAAATACCCTGGATATTCCCATCTGCAGCCCCAAATACCCTGGATATTCCTGTCTGCAGCGAGCCGTTCCACACCGATTCCCCTGCAGGACACTCAGCAGCTGCCCGAGTTACACAATGAATCACTGGCCGAGCTAGGAACAGAGCCCAGGAATTCTGGAGTGGGAAGGACGCGGGTCGCAGCTGGATCAGGACTAAGGAGCGTAACTAGCGTGGCACTGCAGGCACTGGCAGCGCAGCAGCTCCAGCCTCAGCTCCCAGTCCTCATCCATCAGCACCCGGAGACACTTCCCATGGAGACGCCTGCTGCTCTCGCCATCACCCACCCAGGCACGAGGGAACTCAATATAAAGAAAAATAAAAGCATCCCCACTTGACTCTGCTCAAACTGCTGCCTTTTAGCCACCCGCACTGAACCTAGCCAGGCTAGAAGCACGCTGCTTTTCAAGATATATATACAGCTCAGTTATCCACTGCTTTATGTAATCCCACGCATTTAGTCTTTCGCTCATTAATTTACACAGACAATAGATAATCCAGATTCCGAAGCCTGCCCTTTTTTCATTTGCTGCTAGTCACATACGATGCAAGATTATTATAATTTAYGGGTCTCATGCCTATCTGTGCAAACCAGCACAAGTTCAGCAGTACGTTACCCCTCTGGAGCACACAATTTAATTGGTGAATTAAACACTGAAGGGAGTCAAGTCGTGGCCTTTTCCAGCTTGACCGTTTTTAACTCCCTTTTTTTCACTGCCCATCTTTGGGATCCGGGCGCTTCCTGGGGATGTTTTCTTTTCCTTTTGTTTTCTCCCTTTGGCTGCACCTCTGCTGTCATGCCAGCCTTGGGGCTGAGTGTTTTCTTGTGGTGCGTGGGCAGGAGCCCAGCGGACGGTGGTGGGGAAGCAGAAATTACAGGGGATGCTCTCAAAAATAGCGCTGCTTTTCCCCTTGTCTGTGAGCTGGGCACAGAGGTAGGTGTTCTGGTTCTTTCCGTAGTTTTGGAACAACAGGAGAGAGGAGTTACTGGCAGATGAGCTGTTTCACACAGGCTTAAACTAAGCTCAGAGTTACACAGCAATCACAATAGAAACGACTGAAGTAATAGGACACATTTAGCTTCCTTTCCTTCCTGCTTCCCYGTTGTGTCTTTTCCTCCAGTGCTCTTTAGAGGAGCATCGCCCATCTCTTCCCTCCCTGCAGATCCTCAACGTGGCCGCAACATTCCCACATCCTGCCCCAAACAACTACATCCAAAAGGGAACGCCAGCAGGAGTGGCTGCGCTCGGCTGGCCGGGGGACAGCAGGAACACCAGTTCCTGGAGCCACACGTGGATTGTCCCCCCTGCAAAGCGACCCCAGCCCTGCAAGCTCCCCAGCTYGTCTCCCATGGAGAGCTCTGAGGCACCAGCATTCCGGGAGCGAGAAAAAACCCGTGCGGAGGGGCCTTGTGGTCTGCCCCACGCTGCTCCATGGAGATGGGAGAGGGGGAGATGCTGGAATCGGGTCCCTGGGGGTTTCAGAGCACTCCCTAACATGGTACTAGCACGACCAAGGGCAGCCCAGCTGAGTGCAGGGCTAGGACAAGGCAGCTGGCAGCGAGGGGTTTACCCTGCGTGTGCAGGGGGGTTGGACTCGATGACCTCTGAGGTCCCTTCCAACCTTAAGGATTCTATGATTCTATGAGGGCCCTGGGCCTGGTGACGGTGGCCAAGTTCCTACATCACTGAGCACGAAGAGCTACAGTTCCTGCTGCTAAATCTTTGCATTTCTGTGCTACGGTTCATTTGGTCTTTTACAGGYTGCTGTCCTGCAAAGCATTCTGTGAGGTCACCAAGGTGCTTAAAATCATATACATCATATCTATACATATAGATGTATACACTATGGTCCTGTGTATATGATGTATATCATATGATGTATTATATGACGTGTGTCATATATACAGGATCATAGCCTTGGCCCAGCACAGGACTAAAGCCAAATGTTTTATAAAGGAGAAAAGAAGAGAACCAGACTGTAATCTACGGAGCTATTTCTGAGAGCAAGGGTTGCTTTTTGGTGAGCACCCTGCTTTTCCAGGTGGGCTTCACGGTGCCCATACAGCGTGTAACAGCTGCTAGGAGTAAACTGGGAGCAAAACCAGGAGCAGCTGCATGGCTCCTGCTCCGGTTGCCCAGAGAGGCTTTGCTTAYGTGTCCGACTCATGACTGCCTGGAGGGCTCTGTCAAGCCTGGGACCCCGTCGGGTTAAGAATGGGGACACACAGAGACAGTCACTGTTGCAGGGGAGCCTGCAATTTAAATAGGAGAAACAGGACAAGGACCGGAGCCAAACAAAAGTCTACAGCAGGGAGGTGGCAGGCTTTTCTCCATAATAAGCCCAGTCACTTCTAGAGTAACTCCCTCCTTCTTGCAAGGGCTTTAGGTTGACAGATGCTGTCCCAGTTTTGCGATCCAGGCTCAAATTGGCAGTATCTGGTAACATCACATACATTCTTCATGGCAGTTTCTGGTGTATGATCAGTTCCAGAGTGAAGAAACAACAGAATATTTCCAAAAGACCCAAGCTAAAGCCTGCTACAGTCACAATGCTTCTTATGTGGGACACAAAGGGAGGTTCCAAATTTGTCCCTTGCACCACAGACAGGCAGCATCTCTTAACTGGAGAGCCAGAAGAGCATGTCTGACTGAAAAAAAAAACCAACAGGAAGGCACAGACTTGAGCAGAGAACATGCTTTATTGAGAAGTAGATACAAGAATAGCACATTCTACCACATCATGGGAACAGGGTTTAGCTTCTGCACAAGAATGGCCTTCTTTCCTACTCCCCAAGAGATCTACTTCACCGGATAGTTTCATGAGTGTCTGGAGTTAGCACAGGAGCAAAGGGCACATGACAGCAAAAGCCAGTAATGCCCACAAAGTGGCCTGTTCTTTTAGGGAGGCAGAGAAAGACAGAGACAACCATCAGAAGGGCCATGGAGAACCCCTCCACGTTACGAGGGTCAGTGGTTAACAGGAAACAGCTCCTATCTACCAGGGACACGGTACGGGCTTCTTTTCAGACACCACTGAATGAGAAAGCATTGGAAGGGCAGCGCTCTGTGATGCTGCCCTTAGCTACTCCGAGACAGTCCCCACTTTTCACCACCCTGGAACCATCTAGGAGACTTGTGGAACAAGGACAGTGGTTATGTAAGAGCTGTTGTATGATGGTTTCTTCTGGTGGTGCTGATGGGAGAGAGGAGGTAAAAGCTATTTTGCGTTCGTTTTACCAAGATCAACAAGGACACGCTGTCAGAGAAGCAAACCATCCACACAGCTACCTGGAGCTGCCACTGATGCACAGAACGCACACTATAGGCAATCCAACAACTGATGGTATTTGCACTGCAGGGTTTCTGTGGCTGTTTGGACAAGGATAGCAAAAGTGTGTGTGAAGTTAACGTTTCTCTCTTCACGATAGAGAAAAAAATCCTCTCCAACAGAAAGAGACCTACAACTTGARGAAGACTGCTCTGAGGAAAACGTTTAAGGTAAAACATACTGAACGAACTGGTTTTGTGGAAAAAGAAAAAAAAACAGCCGCCAACTCCCACAGATAAACTAGCAAACCAGTAATATATAATCAAAGTGGTCTCTCTAAAACAATAGAGAGCAGTACCTGCTCCAGGAGACTCTGTAAGAACAACTCTATGAAACAGCTCAGACTACGATGCTCTCGGACGCTTAGTCTCGACTCCTCCAGGGTAACACTAACAATCACACCACTCGGGTACAAGTATGCAAGCTTCTGACTGTACAATATTAACTATGGGAAGACCTGCTACATTATACGGAAATCACTGCTTGAAGAGGTGGTATGTTACCTTATTAAACTATTTGATACATGGAACGGACCAGTCCATCAGACAAGACTTGTGAAAAATGCTGAAGTCAGTGTAAGCTGCTGCTTGTTGGGAAACCAGACTTTCCCCCAACGAGCATTTTTAGACCTCGTTCAAAAGCCACAGAAGTTATCCATTACACAGAGGGAGCCTGAAGGAAGAAACAACCAGATTATAGAGACAACACAACCTCATTGGAATAAGAACATGAGGGTAACACCAGTGACTGGACAGGTACAGTACCAGATATCAGAACTCCTTGGGCCAGCGCTGCTAGGAGCATCGTTTGGGTCCTATACAGATCCAATCCTTGCAACCTCATTGAGGCCGAAACATAAAGTTCCTCAGAACCAGCGTCTGCGGTGCGCACAAAAGATCGGGGCCAGAACAGTACCAAGGGGAACGGATCTTTCGGGGTGGGTACTGTACCAGCCAATCACAACAGCAACAGATACAACAGAGATCCCTAGGGTGCTTCCTACTGCTGGGGTTCACTGGCTTCAGGAGTGACAGGTAGTTAAGTTCCCTTAGGAGGGGTCCATTTCAAACAGCTGGGATCCATGATCTTATTGCTGTTGGATCTTTTTGCCTCTTTGGCTATCCATTCATCAATCAGATCCTGGGAAAAAGAGCGTGAAAGGGCAGGTTAAAACAAGTGGTCTATGATGGAGAATTATCCACGGTATAACCCCCAAACATCTACGTCCACAAATCCAGAGACAACCGGCGTGCTGTTTGCTTAGCATGACAGTAACAACATCTTTTCCACACTGCTTTCTGGAAGCACTTCTAAAAATGATCAGACTGCTTTTAGCTACCAAGTCAAGCCTCAAGAAGGGAGAAATGAGAGAGAGGAGTCACAGATTAGGGCATTTACACACTACATGCCTTACATACAAGGAGGACACATGCAGGACTTAAGCAAGGATGCAAAGAGTTCAGCCTACTAGTAGGTCATCCATTTGCCAAGYAAAGGTGAGAAGCACGATAAGGATATTGACCCACTGCTCCCCTATGAGCCACTCACAAAGAGCAAGGTTATTGCACACATCGGAATAAGGAACATCAGCACGGACTGTTTCTACAACACGGAGGATTCAGGCCGGATGCTCAGATCATATTTTATCAGTTGGTGCATTTCCCTCCAAAATTACAGTGCTCTCCCACTAGAATCAAATAGCTGGAAAGCCCAGAACAATGCAAATACTCATTGTGCTGAATTCTGTTACCTCAAAAGCAGTGGCTAAACACAAAGAAACAAAACTGCAAAAAGAGGCATCAAAAAATCTTACCTGTCGTTTTAGGACAAGGTGTTTTCCCTTCCAGTACTTGAGCATCTGAAGTGCTTGTAATGTACTAACAATGTCGACCGGGTTCACTGCCGTCTCCTGGCTGATTTCTGCAAACCACAGAAGTCCTTTGCAATCACCCACATTTGTTAGCTTTTAACTACAAATTTTAGGCAACTCCCTTTGCAATCGTATCCCCCAAAAGCCTTGCAGATATTAAGGTGGCACACACAGCATTGCTGTTGTTGCCCAGACTGCAACAACATTGACTGAAAGTCAGCTCAGGAGAAACACYGGGGGGGAAAAAAAAAATCAGTTGAAATGGAACAGTGTAATGATTTAGCAAAAGTGCTTTGGGGATCAAAGTTAATATGAGGTAATCCTCTGAAGGAATACACAGCAGTTGTATTCCTTCACACTTCTTATGTTCTTAAGTTCTTATCCAGAATCTTCTTTGAAAAATCATTTTTAAAAGGAAACCRAAGCTCAGCAAGCTGCCTTATCTTTAATGGTGGCAGACTTGGAAAGAAGGGCAACACCCAGCTGTAAAAATATTATGCTGAACTATGCCGGTCCACAAACTCCCATATTTATGTTCTTTCTCCTAAAAATGAGCTAAGCACGACCTGCCTCAGATTTGAGGAAAACGAGTAAGATGCACAGAAATGTTCCTCAACCAATTCACTACAAGCTTATTTAGCTTGAAGACACACCTTTTATAGAGATCTCTTTTCCTTGGAAATTATGCAGGTAACGAAGGAGAACTTCCTTCCAGTAGCTACGATAGCTGATGAGACCCAAATCAGACAGAGGTCGTTCTGGAGAGCCAACTTTTTCTTCTACCTTGGAAAGCAAATAGCCTGTAAAGCAAAGAAAAACGATTTATCTCTCCTAGTCTCTCCTGTCTGTTACTTTCTTTAGCACATGCAGAAATTGGCTTTAATCAAAACTGATCAAGAGCCAACAGAGATATGTTACATTTCTGGGTGAAATCAGACATGTTGGACAGAAAATATTTCCAAAATATCACTCTTCCACGCAGTTCTGCAAGAGGAGTTCAAATTCTTCTTCTAATTAACTATTGCCTAGCAGTTGGTGGGCAATTAAWATGCAGACTGGAAGTACTGCTGACTTTTACCAATACTGGTATTATTCAAGATGCACTTGAAAAGAATGATGAGGGGTTAACGTGGGCGTTTTACCTATGTGTTTTCTCTGCCTTACATGTTACAGGTGTGTGAAGCACATAAAAGACATTTACTTGCTTGGCTACTTCTGCCTGATCCTTAAAACATCACTATGAGAAAACCGAAACATCTAAGACAGGGATTTCTGCCTCATTTCACAGCCATTATCAGCAAGTTTTGCTGCAGTTTTTATACTTACTGAAATCAATGAGCATTTTGCCATAACCTTGTCTCATATATTGAGGCATTGTCAGGATACAGGAAACATTGTAGTTGAGAAAAGAATTCTTCTCCTAAAAATAAGGACACAGAGAAGATATCTTAACAGGTCTCGATTTGTGCAAGCAATGGGTGTATCATAATCCCGACAGGCTGAACAAGCCTGTGCAACTGATATAATACAAGGTGAATGGAACAGGCAGAGAAAAACCTGCCTAACAACTGCCAAGTAACACGATCACCCTTCAGCCACCAGCCTGCCACAGTGCCTTCTACCCTAAGGTTTTCCTTTCTCCAAATACTTTATTAAAAAAAAAAGAGACTTATTTTAAGGAGCGGAATTTTACTTACCATTATTTATCTTCACTTTTGCCTACATTTAAGATAGCATCTCCTACAGGCCATAGCTTATTTGAGTTGATTTGGGTTTTGCTAGCAATGAGGAAAGATGCTACAGCAAAGCACTTGCACATATATATATATATATATACACACACACACACATACACACACATATATATAAATATATATATTTTTTTCCAACTTACCTTGGAGAAATACCCTATCAGGTGACATCCAGTGTTGTCAGCTTCTGTCATGACATAAAAGAGGAAGGGTTCAACATCATAATACAGAGTTTTATGGTCCAGGAAAAGTTTTGCCAGCAGACAGAGGTTTTGACAGTAGATCTAGAAGCAAAGAGAGAACAGGATATACGTTTATTACATTGGAACACTTCCAAAGTGCACAAAAAGAGAGCTGGAAAACCAGAAGAAAGTCCTGAACCACCCAAGAAATAACATGCAGCCTTTCAGACAGAGCAGCTGTGTCAGGAAATAATTCCATCTATGATGAAGTTTGATAAGCCTATGTAATAAACAGAAGAATTCTCAAAGGTGGGAAATTAAGTTTGTGACATGGATCTCTGAATGCCTGAAACATCACATACTGAGAGAAGGGGAAGAGAAGGCGGAAGGAAAACAGGGTCTCTGCTTGCTTGCACTGTATTTGTATTAATCCTATAATTCAAGGTCACCTGTGCTGACTGGAAAAGACTCCTGCCAACATCTGACAGCACAAAATTTAGCTGCTGAATTTGTTTTTTTCTCGTCTCTGAAGCCCTCAAGATCAAAAACAACTAGAGACAGGGCACAAGCACAGCGCACTAGTACTGAGCTCCTGATTTGTAGGTGCAGTCTCCTGATCTGCCCTTAAAATCACAGTTAAGGAGATCACCTGCAATAATACTGGGCTGTTCCGAACTCCAACTCAACCTAAACAAGGAATGTTCACAGCTGAATGGGACACAGGTTGCAACAATGGACAGAATAGGTTCTAGCAACCTTTTAAAGTTAGAGAGAGAAAGGTCATTCACATTCTCTTGTTCTACAGGGAAAGCAGAGCACTGCACGTGTGAAAGATGGAATCCACGTTCAAGACTGGCCCACGGCCATGGTTAGTTACCTTATTCTTTTTCCCATCCACTTCAAACACTGAAATGGAGCCTTTGCGGTAGATTTCGTCACCTGGTGGATGTTTCCACACACATTTTGCCTACAGAAGAAGCCAAAGTTAGCATGACATTGCCCTTCAAAACTGCACTGAATATTCTCACATCATGTTGAAAAGACCTTCAAGTGGACAACTGACCTAACACCTCCAGCTCCTCATCAGTTTTTCAAGTCCAAGCATCAGATCTGCCCTAAGCCTTACCATGTGTCTACGTAGTATCGTCTGGCTCTTCATATATTTGAGACAGAATTCACACATGTAGAGACGTCCCAGGCGAGCATATTCCTCTGGGTAAGGAGAATGGTACCAGGTATCCAGCTCATAACGGCCAAAGGCAATTGTTTTAATCATATTGCTGCCTTCCGTGATCTGGCCCTGAAGCCGCAGTTTTTCCTGCACAGGTACCACAAAACCCAGAAAACATTCAGATTGTTGAATAAAAACATGTGCTGAATAAAAACAAGCTATACCAGGAGTGAGAAGTCTCACCAAGTCCTCAGAAGCTCGTGCTTGTGCTCTTCGGAAGAGCTCAAGGTCATACTCGCTGGTCAGGTTTTCAAGTAGGGGTTCTCTAGTATTGCCATAAGTTTGTCTGTGCTCCTGGAGGAACAAAACATTATTTTTTTGCAGCTATGCTACTAGTAAACTTGGTTCTTGCAGCTTTTCAGCCCTCAATGTTGCAGGATGTCTGAGAAAGCCCAATTCCTACTTAGTAGTCTCATTCCAGAGACGAAACAAAAAACGAAAATGTTTCTTTTACCATGTATTTTTCTTTTTGCTCCTTGCTTAGTCCTGAGTTCCTTTTCTTCCTGAGCTCAGCTACTTTCTCCTTGTACCGTAGCTGTCTCTCTGTCGGTGCCTGAAAGAAACGAGAGGTGGAAATCTTTCATAGGTGGAAAATTGTGGTAGGTTTCACCTACTTCAAAACTATCTATTCACCTTCCAACCCCCAGAGGACCTATGTCCTGGCTTCCATTTCACCAGATTTGTTGCCTGTGGACCAAGGCACAGACATTTGGCATGCAACATTAAATCCCTAAACACCACACCAAAATACTTTTGCTCAAGTATTACATGGATGAAGTATGACAGTGGCACATACCAGCAACTTAGTTTCTGAAATAAAAAGGATATAAGYTTTATAGTTTTCAGTGCTGCTGAGAGAATACTTCAGGTGCAACACAAGTATGTAAACTTGGAAATATTTCTTCTTTTCACAGCTCTTCTCTGCTAATGCACCCTAGGCTCACAARACACAACTGTGCTCCTTATCCACTACTTAATCATGTGGAAAAGCTCACAGCTTATTCATAAATTCATCTTGACTTGACTCCATTGCTTATGAGYTGAAAAATGCAACTCCCCCTGTATTCTTCTTTTGGATTTAGTCAGAATAAAGTTGAGTATTATAGTTCTGCAAAAATTCTGCTGTCATATGCATCAAAGCACACAGAAAAAGATTATCCAGAGAAGAGCTCCATCCTCCTTTGTAACAAGGCCTCCTCTGTGCTCACCTCTTAAGGGACACAATGCATTTCCCATGCTCAAACACACTGCAGGTGACAAATGGGGAGTGCCAGGACTCAGCACAATAGCTCATTCAAGACAAGGGAGATGAAGTTGAAAGTACTTGTCACTGGAAACCACAAGCTGAGGTTTTTCTCCTTCTCATTGAGCAGGCACTCTATTATGTGCAGATTGCCTACCTGGTGTCTGGTGGCATGTCTGTTGTTGTCGTCCTGCCGATGGGCCAACATCCTCTCCTCAATCTGTTTATCCCGGCTTTGTGCTCGCACCTGGAATTCAAAACACATCTGTCAGGACTGCAGCAAACTATGCCAAAGCCTTTCTCTTCTCTACTTCAGTCTAGGTGAATTCTCTGAGCTGTAATTCACGGATTACGTGACACACCCATGCCGCTAAAGACATGTTATCTCCACTTTCTTTGACAAATGACATTCCATGGCATTTTGTTTCATAAAATTCTAAGCTGGAACAGGAGACTCGCTCACCTTGCACTCATCTGCTGAAAGGTTATGATACAGCGGACATCCTGAGATGGAGAAGTGTCGTTCATGTTTTCCAGTTAGGTGTCCTGTGAACGATGAGGAAAAAGAGCTTTTAAGATAAAATAATAAAGAAGTTTAAAAAGGAGTCCAGATGGTCAGATACCATACACGGGCTTCTGAAAGGATAGGTTAAGTTTATTTTCAGTATGATGCGATGAAYGCATTTCATGGTTCATGGCATATTTTTAGGGAAAAAATAAAAAAAGGAATAAAAAAAACTCAAAACCTGCACTGYACACAAGCACCCAAACATTAATTAGAGGACTGCATTAATGTGCCTCTAGTCAAAAACACCTTGTGAAAGAATATATCCACACATGTACTCCGTCTCCCATCTCTATACCCGCTTCCCAGGAATGCTGTTGATCCGAATTAAACACAGACTGTGAGGATGGATGATTTCAACTGGGTAGGGCTTTGGATATTATATCAGAAAGGGAGAAGTCAATACATTAATCCTCAAGTCGAAATTACCTAAAGAGTTACAACCAGGAGTGGGACATTTCATGTTGAAATTGTAGCTCTCATGGAAGCGGCGGCGCTTAGGACGGTGAGACAGGTCGCTTCCCGAATCCTTCATGGACATGTCCTTGGCAATACTCTCATCATGGGAAATATTTGGACTGGAGATGTCAATATCRGACTCAGAAGAAGGGGCATTCCCAGTAGGGGTGCGAGGTGGAGACTCATCGTGATCTGCTGCATTTTTAGTGTCTGAAAAAGCACAAAGACATTACAAATTAACACAAAGAAAGCTTTCAAAACAACAAGCACCCTCAGAGTATAAAGTAGAATAAATCAACATTTTGCTAACTCTTAAAGCCTCCCTGCACCCCACATACCTCTATCAGAAAAGTCAACCACTTGCTCAGTTTCTGATCCAGAGGAGCGGGTCTGCCGGAGCGGGTATTTTTTTGGAGTCACGGGAGTGGGCTGCTGTTGGCTGCGAGTTACTCTCCTTGTGGAATAAACAGGCTCTTCTGCTCCAAACGATGGTGGATTGCGAACTGGGCTGGAATCTAATTCAACAGAGACACCAAACTTACACTCACACACACAMAAAAAAAACCCAAACACTGTAAGGAGCTAAACTCAGGTATGCCCCAAAGTCTGTGATATTGACCTCAGATGGCTGGATATCAGATATCAACAGTTCTGGCATCCTGAACCTCAAAATCACCTGATTCCACATGGATTGCCCTCTTCTTCTGAGTTTATATATTTGATGCTATAACCAATATTGAGAAATCTGGAACTAGATCAAYTTTCTCTAGACTTATTTATTTAACTAGTAGTTACAAAACAGGTCCCTTCTGGAAAGTTAAAGAATCATTATCTTAAATAAGTGCCGCTGGTGTTTAGGCAGTCGTTGGGAACACAGGGCTGCTTCTGGTGYGGAAGCATTCAAAATATCAGTCAATATACAGATTACATTCGCTGCAGAATACCTCCAACAAGCCATGAGGTCTTACCTTGCCCTGCCACACAGAAAAGGCCCAGAGAAACCCAACTTTCACTCCTGAAAACCCCACTGCAGAGGGCCCACACAACCAGCTTGGTACCTTTGGGAGTAACTAGACGGCAAGTAAGATTTGAGAGATGTCAGGAAAGAGAAAATCAAAGCTGGAAGCAGAATCAGAGTCTTGAATTCTTCTTTCATTTAAAAGGTAGATATGCTTTTTAAGCAAAATACACTGKATTCTTGACTTTCACACCAATATATCCTTTAGCTTTTATCATCTGGTAAGTGTGTATGTATCACCTCCTTTTTGCAAGACGCATTTACAAAGATTGCWCTTTTCCCTGCTACCGCAATACCTGAGGACAAATACATTTGCATACACATATATATATAAAATATACATATATATATATAWAAAATTCTACTTAAGCACAACCTCCGCACACGTTTAAGCTCCAGAGACTAGCGAGACGCAGCACATTCCAGCCAGGGGAATAATCTTTTTACCTTGGGAGCTCTGGCTGAGCCGGGCCGAGGAGCGGGTGACGCGGGCCGAGCGCCGCGAGGTGCCATCGCTCTCGGAGCTGTCCGTGTGCTCGGGGTCGGTGGAGAAATCCGAGTCCTCGGTGCCGTCGGAGCTGCTGCCGGCGTTCCTCTGCAACAGCACGCGCGCAGGCATGAGCGCGGCGGCGGGSGCCGGGCATGCTGCGCTCACCGAGGCGACATTCGCCTCCGGAGCGACCGTTTCGAGCTGGTCGCGACGCTCGGCGAGGAAGAAGCGCCGGGGGCTCCGCGCGCGGGACGCGCTGCCCGCGGTCACCTCAGGGGACGAGCGAGGCGCCCCGCGCGCACCTTTGTTTTGCGCCCAGCCGCGACGCGCCGGCTCCGGCCAATCGCAAGCCGCGGGGGAGGGGCGGCATGGGGCCGCCCGCCAATGGCGCCTCGCAAGAGCGAAGGGGCCKGGCCAGAGGGCGTGATTGACGGAGACCGCCAGCCAATCGGGGCGAGACTGACTCCTGCAGAAACATTCCCCTCCCTGGAGTGGGGTGGGGGAAGGGAAAGGGGGAGAAACTACGCATGTGCGGGGAGACGACCGTTGGGGGCGTAGAGGGACAGCTCGAGTGGCCAATCATCCGCCAGAAGAGCGCAGCAGCAGAGCCAACCCGCGGCCAGATCTCTTGCTAGCCGCCCAATCGGAAAAGCCGAAGGGCAGGACGCACTGCGGGAGGGGGGAGGGGAAACGGCAGCCGTTGGGGGCGCTGAGTGATGTTCCACAGCGGCCAATCAGCGCCCAGCAGGCTTCCACGGGAGCCAATCAGGGAGCAGCGGGGGCGGGCGCTGGTGGGTGAAGGCCGCTATTTTCCCGCAGATTTGGGGCCCGGGAGGGGCGGCTCGGGGGTGCTGCAAAGCGGGGAGGTTGCGGCCCGTGTTCGCCACCCTCCCACCGGCGGCCCCGGCGTCTCTCCGGCCGCGCTCACCTTCCTGCGCGGCATCCTCGGCGGGGGCAGCGAGGCGGGCTGCTCCCCGGCCCGCGAAGCGGCCGTCGCCGCCGCGTTAGCGCCGGCGGGCTCCGTGGTGACGGCCGTGTCTCCCCTCCTGCGGCACGGCGGTTGCGGCGGCGCCAGCCCGCTCCRTCCGCCGCCGGCGGTGCCAGTTCCCTGCTCGGTCCCTCACGCTTCCGCCGGGACGCGGGTCCACACCCCCGTCACGTGACGCGTCGCCAGCCTCACGCCAGCGGGCGCTGCCATCTTGGAGGCGGGCAGGTACTCCGGTTGCCGAGCCRTCAGTGAAGCTTCAGGCGGCCATCTTGGGTGCGGGTGTGAGGCCGGCCGCCACGCCCGCCTGTTTTCCCCAGAGAACCATGTTGGATGCGGGCAAGCCGAGCCCTCCCGCTGCGGCCATGTTGAGGCCTGGCAGGGACGCGCCGTCGGGCGGAGGGAGGAAGGCGGTGAGTGAGTCCCCGTTGCCCTCGACGGGGAGGCGGGCGGTGCCGGGCCCTCCCCGCGCGGGGGTGGCCGCGGGAAGGAGAGGCCTGTCCCGGCTCCGGGCCTGGAGGTGCCGCGAGCGGCCTCACCACGAGCCCCGGGGGCCGAGGGGCCGGCCTGGCCCCGGCGCTGCCCTCTCCCTTAGCTGCCATCAGGCCAAGGCCGCCTTGGGTGGCGCATCCCAAAGGCGTTARGGCCATAACGGTGCCCCAAAGCAGCAGCAGGCTGCCTGATTTAAAGCACCCGAGGAAAAACAAGGCCGTTTCGTCATCTCCCAAGCCTTTTCCCGATGTAGTTCTCCGCAGGGAATATACAATTCGTAGGGCGCCTTCCACAGTCACACGGGCAGCACTGCTTAATGGAGGAGCGTGAGGGCTGCCGGGTGAAGGGAGGCCCTGGAAGGCCGAGGGAGGGACGAGCTCGAGGCCCCTGCCCCTCCGTGGTGGGGAGGCACCCTGGCCGCGAGCGGGACCCTTGTGAGGCAGGAGATGCCCCATGTGAAGCACAGGAATATCTGCGTTATAATATATAATAGCTATATTAATGAGTAATATCTATTACTCATTAGTAATCTGGTTATTTTAATGGTCAATGTTTGGGTTGCAGAAGAAAACGTTGACTTCTACAGCGGGCTACAACTGCCCACTGCGGTATAATTGTGACCCCAGTGTTAAAGGGCAAAACAGATTTGTTAACAAAACTAGCWGGCATTTCTCCTCTTCCGATTATCTTGTGTTTCCCCTGCACAGCTGAAGCCTCTTTCCCAAATTAGGGATCACCCCCATGGCCCTCCCCATAGCTGCACTGTAGGAATGAGCCCTTAGCACAAGGTGGGATGGATCCCTTCTTTGGGAGAGGAGGAGTTTGAGTCAAACTGCAGATATTTGTTGCCTTGCAAGCAAAATCGCATTYAAAATAGTCTGGGACTTAATGGAATTTCAGTTTGTAGCTTTTCAATTATTTTTGAAATTAATTTATATAAGAAAAAGAATATATTTGAAAAAATTATGATGTATTAGATTGCCTTGAAACTTTGTCTGATCCATTTGGGATAACATCCATCACGGAAAAGAAAGAGCTAACAAAGCTCCAAAGGGCAGTAGGAGTGAGAAGAGAAGAGCAGTCCTTAGTGGAAGGAAAAAGGAGGAGTTAGTTTGTACACTCTATAACTGCTCATCTGTCACATTTTCTGTGACCTAAAGCACCTTTTGCAAAAAAAAAAAAAAAAAAGTGTTTCTAGCATTGCAAATGAATGGAGGACTCTAATGGAAATGTTTTGGGGCGGTTAGGAGCACTGAGAAAAGACGTAAAAAGACTTATAAACTACACCTTCATCTTAGATTCTACTTAATGCAAAAAGAGGTAAATCTGTGGTATAAAACCTGATAATTAGCTTAAAAGCTGATTGTAACACAGCTGCAAAGTCCAAATATTAAATTCCACTAACACTCATAGATTAAAACGAGTAAAGATACAAAAAGCTGCAGATTACCACATCCTGTTGCAGTATTTGCCCATCAGCAATAGCCGAAAGGTTCCTCTTTTTAAAACAATATATCATATGAAAGCGGCAGCTCCTAGTTGTATTGGCTACACGGGTGAAATATTAATTAGCACTCCCAGCTGTTAGTGAAATTCCTGGGTGAGGTAAATTGTTTATGTTATGTGGCATATGAGCGGGTTTATCGCTGCTCACAGGGTGTTCCTGGAAAAACAAAGCGGGGGGGAAAGTTGGGTGACTCTCCTGGAGGTGGCTGGAGCAGAAGCCGGTTCCCGTGCGCTGTGGGGGGCACCCTGAGGTGCACCCTCGGGGTGCTGCGTACACRGGGCCACATGGAGAGGCGGCTCTCGTGCTCCCGGGAAGAGCCCGAGGCTCYGAGCACGTCATGCCCTTGTATAGCATGCAAAAAAACGCTTCTGTGTAGGTATATATACCCATGAGGAGCACTAGCTGGAGATGAAGAAGAGTCATTCTGCTGGAAGAGTCATTCTTACTGCATTTCAGTTCCAAATCCAGCCTCAAAACAGGAGACCTCTGGCAAAAAATAAACATAAATTTGGTTTCTCTTCCTGCATTTGTCCATGTGCAGGATAATGGCAGTCCATGGTGCTGTCCCAGCCTTTGGTCTTGTGGAARGGCCATCCCTGGTGTCTGTTGGAGCTTGATTTTTGGGGCTGCCCTGCGGCCACCGTGGATGGATGTGGGACGTTCACAGGAGCCGCCTGCCGCTAGATGTCAGTGCSGGAAGCCCCTTGGCCACCAGCAGGGCAGGGAAGGCAGCGCCCGGGAGGCTCCTCTTGGGGCAAAATTAATTAAAAATAATAATATAAATAAATAAAACTGTGAGGATCTCGAGGGGAGGTAAATTCCCATAAGCAGGCTCTTGAGGCAGGCATGCAACTCCTAACTGTGTCAGAATTTCCCAAGTAGGACCCAGCAGGAGGAATTGCCTGATTTTCCATCAGAAGGAAGCTTAGCAAGTGCAAGCTGGAAGTCTAGATATTGGGCTCATCACCAACAGGAGCGATGGTGAAATCAGGACAAGCGGATCAGCAGCAGGTCTGCAAAGCAAGCAGGTACCGAGGAAGCAGACCAGAGTTTTAATTCATGCTCCTGTATTTTGGGAGGATATGAGGTGTTTTGTTTGGATTTAGCTTGAATTTGGTTCAGATTTAGGTGGATCCCGCCTGGAGGTAGAACTGAGCTGCCGAAAGCCCTGGGCATGTGCCGTGCCTTGTGCTGAAGGCCTTGCAGAACCAACTAGCTGGAGGTGGAGAGGAGAATCTCGGTAAAACTTCAGCAAAGTCTCCCCTCGCTCTTTCCTCTCGGGCCGCAGCACTCGCGTGTCTGAGTACAGCCAGTGCTTTCTGGCAGCAGGCACAAGGTCAAGCCCGTTTGGCCTGCGCGAGTGTTTTTTCTTTTCTGTTTTTGTTTGTTTTTAATTTTAGCAGAAAAGGAATCCAGTCTGAGTTTTCCGAAAGCAGTTTTTTCCACTTAGTTACTGCTGAATATAGCTGCACTTCCTGATTCCTTCTCTCCCCCTTCGCTTGGGTCTCATGGTATACTCTGATTTATGAAATAACTGCAGTAACTGTGTTGTGCCCCAGCAGGASTAAAGCATCCTGATAGACTAGACCTTTATGTCACCCTTACGCTGATCCTGCCAAAATGGTTTTTGGTGGAGGGGGGCACTTGCCTKCTTGAAACTTGTGCTCTGCTCCTTTAATACATTCCTTTCGGTCTAGGCAGTGCTCTCCAGCTGCCTGGCACTGCTGTCCGTGTCCTGCTCGCTAATCAATCAAGTCCATCACCCGCTTCCCCAGGGAGAAGGCTGCTCTCGCCGCTCAGACCCGGCCTTTCACAGCAGTGAGGAGCTTTGGTCGCCCAGGATGGCACTGACGTGCTAGCGAAGGTGACGCTTCAAACCCGTTTGGCATTTCTTGAGCCTGCGCTGTGGGCAGTTTTCCATAAAACTCACTGGGAATGCGGGCAAGGAGCAGCAGAGACTTTGGAGTCTTAAAACTGGAAGAATAACTAGCCCCAGGTTGGTCTGTTAACAGTGCAGTTGCCGAGACTAACTTGACTCCAATAGCCAGCACACCATCAGCCTGGCTTYTTTTCTCTTTAGTCAGGTTTATCTTCCCTAGTTTCCTAGGAGACTGACTACTACCAGGTTACCTCTGTGCTCGCTTTCTGGCCTTAAAAAGAGTAGGAGCATCAAATAAATACCAGAACGAATGCAAATTCTCAGTACAAAATGGATGGAGAACGATGGAC